AAGAAGAAGAAATCCAGCAGCACAATCCATCAAGCAGAGCATCCCAGCACCTGTCAACTGGAACACTCCAGCACCCATCAACCAGAGCACCCCAGTACCCATCAACCAGAGCATCCCAGTAGCCATCAACTGGAGCACCCCAGTACTCATCAGCCTGAGCACCCCAGCACCCATCAACCAGAGCATCCCAGTGCCCCATCAACCGAAGCATCCCTGAGCATGGTGGACATACACATGCTGGGGTAGGCACATGGGCAGGTTTTACATGCCCAGGGTCATTGGAAGACTGTGTCAGCTGCTTCCCAGCACCAGGAGGGTGGAGAGCCCTGCGGGAGGAAGGGCACCATCCATCAGACCTTGCATCAACGTAACATCACCCAGTTTCCATCAAGTTATTAACCCCTCACCCAAGAAGAGGAAGAGCAGCCTGGCAAGGCAGCCTCCAGGAGCTGCCACCTCCGGTGTTAAGAGCTGCAGCCACAGGTGTGGCTGACCACAGAGCAGCAGAGGTGCTAGCTCTGGAGACATCTGCCTGCTTCCCATGGGCAGAGAGAGCACCCTCATCACCTGCCCAACCCCAGAGTCACCCCCTGAAGCACAGAGGCTGCTGGCAGCCAAATGCTTTGGTAGAAGCAGCCAGGTGAGAGCTGGGCGTCCCGGTTCAATGCAGTTGCACCCCACCTTCGTACCCACCAGAGCCCTCTGTGTGTTGGCCAAGCCTGATGCCACTTCCAGCAGCGCTTCGCTGAGCAAACACAGCTTGTGTACAGGGAAAACCTCTGCCCAACCTTTGCCCTGTGCACAGCCCCGCTCGGCACCCTACGAAATGGTGCAGCCCCAAAGACAAGGAGGCATTGAGAGCAACCCACCATCCGCTTGTTTTGCAGCTGAAACGACAGTGAGGCGTCCTCGGGGAGGCTGTGGGCATCGCTGGCCTGCAGCTGGTCCAAAGGGGAAGGTGCAGTGCTGGATGCCCCAGCCCAAACTCAACAGCTCCCTGTCCTGGATCTACCACACCAGGCGTCCCCACTGTGGCTTTTGCCAAACAGCCTCAGCCTGCAAAGGGACGCTGCCTTGGAAATGTGGAGTGGGAGGTTTCTCCCAGCGCAGGATGTCATGCTGCCAACCCTCTGCAGAGCGGTGTTTTCTGCTTTGGAGGGCTTTGCTGCGCGGATGCCACCGCAGCTGGGGCTGCAGGAGCTGCTGTGGCACAAGCAGTGCTGGGGCAATGCCTTCCCATCTGACATGGGAGCTCAGGGAAGGGGACATTCCCTGTGGGGACACAGCAAAGCCTTTCACAGGGGAAGGAAAACCCTCCAGACTGCCCAGACCAGCTTACCATCACCCCCAGATATTCAGACAAGCACCAGTATTCCCAGAGGAGCAGGAACGTGCCTCCCGCCCTGACTGAATTTTTATGCTTTTATGTTCTTAAGAGTTTCTTTTAGTGTTGCTTTTCCCCAGAGCCCGATTTATGCTGGAGCCAAGATCTTTGCTGTGACCCCATAAAACAGCACTGGGAAGGGCCGGCTGGCTCGGCTTCCACAGCGCTCCCTGGAAAAAAAACCCCTTTTGATCAAAAAACTTTTAAATCTAGAAGTAGGAATAAATCTCAGGCTCACACAGGAAGAGTTTGAAGACCAAACAATGGTGTCCAGGGCAGTGAGGGGTCTTTCCACACCCCAAAGAAGGTTTTGTAGATAGGACTCTGCCTGTACTCCATCTCAATCCAACCTGAGGAGTATTTTCCTTCGTTTTCTCTTTTAACTCCCTTTTAACATAGATTTTGCTTCCACTAAAGAAGGCTTCAACAGCTGGAGGTCTGGATGAACCCTCCCCACCCCCAAATCCAGGCACTCTGCCAGAAAACTAATGTGGTCTTCTGCTGGGTGGCTCTGCTCAGGAGAGGTCTGCCTCGGCCAGTGCTGGTCCTGCAGGGCAAGGAGAGCTGCATGTGCCAGCCGAGGGAGCAGCCAGCGTGGGCATGGAGGGTGCTGCAGGGCGGGGAGGGTACGGGGACTTGGGTGAGGGTTGACAATAACGAGCAAGAGTTTCTGCTCCAGGAGCAGGAGGAGAGCACAGAACGGGTCCGAGCAGCACGGTGATGTTACCGTTCATCTGAGCTCACCCGTGAGCAAGCCTGAGAGCTGGCTTCATACACAGCCAGGACAGTCACACAGAATCACACAGAATATTAGGGATTGGAAGGGACCTCAAAAGATCATCTAGTCCAATCCCTCTGCCGGAGCAGGAACATCTAAACCCACCCTCAGCTTCTTCTTATCCAAACGCCGCATGGGGACGTGGCACCCACCTGCAGTTCCACTTCTCCAGAGGCTCCGCGGTGAAGTACTGCAGGTCCCTGGGGAAATGGTACTGGTAGCGGCGGGAGACCGCCCTGGCGTTGGCTTTCACGGACCAGAGGAGCCCGAAGAGCAGGAGGATGCCACCGATGCCGCAGCAGAAGAAGCTGACGGAGCGGAGTAGGGCGTTGGAGGAGGAGCTGGGAACCGCCTCGGCTTCCCGGGGGGGCAGGAGGCGAGTCCCGCTGCTGGCCGGGGTGCCCACCTCCCCGTCACTCCACCAGGCAAAGCACAGCGTCCCCGTCACCAGCAGCACGGCCCCGGTGATGGTCATGCCATAGCGGAAAGAGGCAGCTGCCATCCTTCAGAAGGAGGTTTTAGGTGGGGAGAAGAGCGAGACAGGGCATGAGAGAGCCCACGATCTGCAAGATAAAGAAGAGACCAGGTTTGAGAGACAACATCACAGAAGAAGACATACCAGAGGAGAAAACTACTAAGCTAGGACCTCTCTGGGGGTTGCACACTTATTACTGACCATCAGAAGGGGCATTTCCAGCATCTCAGTTGGGAAGCCCTTGTGCAGAGCACAGTCAGCCACCAGTCTGGACCCATAAATGTCCCCACAGCCTCATAAAAGCATCCTCACTGTCCAGAAATGCCCCAGTGCTCCATGGAGGCAGGATGGAAACCCCAGCCAGGGGAGCTACGGAGGTCCCTCCAGGGACTGGCATGGTGCTTCTCTTTGGGTTTTATTCCAGACCTCCTCCCGAGCTCGGAGGAACACCAGCTGGGTCTCTGATCAAAGCAAGGCTGACGGAAGAGGTTAGGGAGAGGGACATGAACTTAAGTTGTCACCATTTCCGAATTACCGATGCACATGTTTTCTCCTCTGAAACTGGAGGTAAATCAGTCCTGGGGTGACAGTGGGTGTCTGGCATCACTGCTCAAAAGCCTGCAGCCCAGGGGATTCGGGCTGCGCTGCCTCTTGCTTTCTCAGGGAAAAGGGCCAAGTACCATCTCTGAAAGTCACAGAGATGCTATTTCAGGGAAAAATCAACCCTCAGATGCTGGCAACCCAGTGTACCTCATCTAGGGATGGCTCCTGAGATGCCGAGCGAGTGGGGGAACCCAAAGAGCTCTCCCGTGACTGATGGAGCCCACAATAGCTGCGCTCCCCACCGCAACCAAGCTCGGAGCAAGGATGGGAGTGGGAATCACTCCGTATCTCCATTAAAAGTCAGGAATGTGCTGGATACAAGCTAAACCCTCCAGGAGGGTATGACCTACTGCCAAAATCGGTGTTTCTGCTATGCTGGTCAGGGGGGTTGAGGCAACAGACCAGAGAGATGTACGAGGCTCTTGCTGACCCAGTGATGATGTCTCATTTCAAGACACTCCAGAAGCACAGAAGGGCTTCAGTTTGTTTTGAGGGTGGGGTAAATACCCTGACGCTGGCAGAGTCTGCTCAGTCTTCATCCAAACGAGCTTTTGCACATCCAACCTTGCTCCCCTGGGTCACCTCCAGCACACATCTTGTCAGCTCCCCAGCATGATGGATCTCACAGGTGTTATCACCACCTTCACCATCACTATCAGGGTGGTCTGGGGTTGGTTTGACAACCAAAGAGACAAGACAGTGCCACATATTCCTACTGGGTGGCACTTCTCAGCTCAATGTCACACGCAGAGAGCAACCATCCTTCCCCAGCACAGGAAAATCTGGGGAAGGGGGCTGGTTTCTGACTTCTAGGGCTCCCACTCCCCCTTGCTTTCCCCAGCAAACCACAAGCATCTGCTCTCTGGGCTTGGAGATCCCCAACTGCCCAAACAGCACCAGTGACCGGGCAGGCAGAGAGGTCCCACCGCGTCCCCTCTGACCTTGCTCAACTGCCCAACAGGAAGATGCAGATTCAGCCCCTACTTCTTGATGGACAAAAAGCTTTGGCCCATGTGAGGATTAAGCACCAGCACGCCCTTACAGATTCAGTCCTGAGCAACTCTTCTGCGAGGGCTTCCTGTGGTGGCAGTGCCAGTGGAGAGCCTGCACGTTGGGGGCTGTCTGGGATGGAGATGGGGCTCAAGAACAGAGGTGGATGGAGAGTTGAGTGACACATGCTCAGACCCCACCTCTGCCATTATTAAATTAAGATAATCTGTTGGCTTTGGTCTCCTTTCCTCCAGGCAGGGCTCTCCTCCTACAGAAGGGACTGAAATTGTACCCTGAGACCTGGAAGTGCCAAACCAGAGCTATGGAGGGAGCAGAAGTCCACCACAGACTCGATGTGATCAAGGGTGGGTGGAATTACATTATTTCAAGCCATTATTTATCAGATGGGCCCACTAAATGGAAAGGCAAATTACTTTGTAGTGAAAGAAACGCCATCTGATCTAATCTACGTTTAATGCAGAAATCCGATGAGAACGGGGATTTAGGAAACCTGCAGGAAGGCTGCAGGACTGGGAGCCCCAGTATCTCACTCCAGCTCCTGTCCCATGGTCACGAGCCCGAATTGCTGCCCAGGCTGGTGGTGGCTGGTGGTCCCTGCCAGGAAGGAGGGGGTGTTTCTGGGCTGAGAGGAGGCAGAGCATCCCCGTGTAATGAGGGGACATGTTGAGATGCTCCCTCCTGAATGGCAGGGGCTTGGCTGCGCTGAGACGGAGAAGAGACTGTTAGAGAGTGGTTAGAGATGCTGTTAGATGCTTTTAGGGGTCAGCATCCTCCAGCTCACCACCAAACACGAGCAGGACACAGCAGACAAGCTGGGCTTATGTTGCCTTGCAGCTGTAGATGCTCAGGAGAGCGCAAGGACCCTACTGACCTGTGAATCCAGCTCCTTTTGAGAGCATTGCATTTTCCTGGAAAATTTTCAGCCAATATATTATCTGGGAAAAAAAAAATCACAACCCAAAAACTCTACAGCAAAACTCTCCATCCAACTGCATGGAAATGACAGGCCATTCCACACTGAAAGCCTGGATTGAAACGGCACCAAGAGCTGAAATGTTCAGCTCCTGAAGTCAACACTCTCCTCATTTTGGGGTCCATCTGGTGAGGTCTGGGAGATGCTACGATTCCCTTGGTGGGATTTGAGAGACACTGCAATCCCCTGGTGAGGTTTGGGAGATGCTGCGATTCCCCTGGTGAGGTTTGGGAGATGCTGTGATTCCCTTGGTGTGATCTGGGAGATGCTGCAATTGCCCTGGTGAGGTTTGGGAGATTCTGCGATTCCCCTGGTGAGGTTTGGGAGATGCTGTGATCCCCCTGGTGAGATTTTGGAGATGCTCTGATTCCTTTGGTGGGATCTGGGAGATGCTGTGATTCCCTTGGTGAGGTTTGGGAGATGCTGTGATTCCCTTGGTGTGATCTGGGAGATGCCGCAATTGCCCTGGTGAGGTTTGGGAGATGCTGTGATCCCCCTGGTGAGGTTTGGGAGATGCTGTGATTCCTTTGGTGGGATCTGGGAGATGCTGCAATTGCCCTGGTGAGGTTTGGGAGATGCTGTGATCTCCCTGGTGAGGTTTGGGAGATGCTGTGATTCCCTTGGTGTGATCTGGGAGATGCTGCAATTGCCCTGGTGAGGTTTGGGAGATGCTGTGATTCCCCTGCCCAGGCACAGGGAATTTTGCAGCCCCCGGTGCTGGGCACATCTGGGAGCACTGGCAGCGAGGGGGAGGTGGATGTGGGGGGAAGGCGGAGAGCCTCTGGGAGGTGATGGATTGACAGCTCGAGAGAATAAACTCTTCTCTCTTGACAAAACCGGCGCAGTGCGGGGAGCAACGCTAAAAGCTCATCCAGCCTACCTGGCACGTGCTCCCGCAGCGTGTGCGCGGGGGTGGCTGCTCTGTGCTGGGTGACATTGCCATCACACCGTCCCCTTGCCAAACCTCATCTCTTCTGAGACCTACAACATTTTTCTCAGCACACCAACCGCTGGAAGAAGAGGCCAAAGGAGCAGGGGTGGGCGGGGAGGCGTGAGGTCGGGGCAGGACCCAAGTCCGGGGCAGGACCCAAGTCCCCCGTGTCCCAGCCTGTCCCTGGCTCCACTCCCGGGGCACTCAGCATCCCACACGGCAGGTCTCCCGGTGAGCATTTCCAGCACAGGCTTCCACAGAGGGGCTGCCCCTCTGAAGACAGCAATTCCAACTCCCACTCTTCTCCACTCACTGAGCCACCCTGTCATTCTGTTCTGCCCCGTCTCCTCCTTTGACCTGCTCTGAAATAGTCTTTCCATGGAAATAGATTTGCACGGACAAACAGATACGAATGTTAATAGTTTACATAGTTCCAGTAAGACGCTGAGAATAGCATCCCCCATATAAAGTTATGCAGATGGTGATTCATAGGGTCTACCAAGCATTACTCAGAAAAACACTCTTTTCCAGCACCACAAGAAATGAAAAGAGTTTTGAATCTCTCCCACTGCCATCAAGCAAGAAATCCACCTCCACAGCCCGTCCAGCCCATCCTTCCACACCGTGCCGGCTGGAGACCTTTAACCACGCGCGGCTGTGCCAAGAGGAACGCAGGTGAGGGACGCGCCGAAGTGCGAGCGTGTCATTCGGGAGATCCCTTCCTGCCTGCATCTGAATTTGGTATTATTATTATTATTATTATTATT